TCAGCTCCAGTCTATAGATTGGAGCTGTGTGTGTGTGTGTGTGTGTGTGTGTGTGTGTGTGTGTGTCTGTGTGTAGGGGGGAAGAGAAAGTGTAAATGAGGGTTGGGGTGGTGGAACAGGAGACAGAGAAATAGCAAGAGCAAGACTGAAAAAGGCTGTTCTGGTAAATGGCTGTGGACCTTCACTATTGATTTTCCTCTGTATCAACTCTTCTCAGGAGGTTTCAGTTCACCTTGGATGTGTTTTTTTTTGTTTGTTTGTTTTCTGACAAGTGAATTACATGTTTCACCAAAGTCTGCCATTTTCACCTGGAAATGCGGTCAGAGTTTTCAGAAAGTCTGTCTCAATGAGTCTTGAGAGGGACTTCCTGTGACCCTCCTTCCATTGCAGAAGAAGGCACTAATGCATAGAGGTGACAAAATTGAGATGCGGGGAGATTTGAGTGGTAACATGACACTGGAAACATAGACACTTTAGTCAGTCACTAGGTATAAACCATTCAAAACCTCAGTTTTCTCACCTGTATGCTGGAGTTTGTATCTGCTTTGCAGGGTTGAGTTGCAATTACATGAAACAAGGTACTGATGAGGGCCAAGCTCAGGGTCCAACAACATTCAATAGGTGTTGGTTGAATCGAAGGGTCATTATTTGGAGTGATTTGAAGTTTCCTGGTGAATTCAGGTTCTAAAAAGGAAGTCCTAACTCAGAAGGACAGAAAAAGATAGACGTAAATTACTGCTAGGAATTATATTTCTCCCCAAGAGGCAGGCAGGTATAAGGAATGGCCATGTATTTTCAGAGCTAATTAACAGAAGTGGATGGTACAGGAGAGCAGGCACAATATTGAAATATTTGTCTGTGTGTCTGTCTAGCTACCTTAATGTATTATTGCTCCCATGGCTCATCTGTGGAAAACTGACTATTCTGAACCAAGAGGGAAGAGCTTGAATCCAGGACTCAACTCTGGGCCTTGATTTCCTCACCAGTGCAGGAGGGAAGTTGGCATTTCCAAGTGAGAATAATTCTGAATAATTCTTTACTGCCCTGGACAATGGAATTGTGTCCACTGTGGACACAAGAGCTCCCAGTCCTTGTTACAACCTCTCTTCTCTCTCTCTCCATTGCACGTGCCCTTTGTGGTAAGTATGTAGATCTCCAAACTCCCTTCCAGTGTTTTCTTTCAAGGAGTTCACCCAGTTAGTTGTTCAGAGTGGGTACAAAAGTACCATTGTATTGTTAGGGATAAATGGCCATTTCATTTATTTACTTCAAATCACTTTCAAGGAAGAGCAGACGTAGGCTGGTATAACGGTAACCAGGGAAGATTATATTCTCTCTGGGAGCACAGCTTTATTCTCTGTATTTAAGGTAAAACCTCCATCTCACACAATGCTTCCAGAACTGACTCATGATGATGTTCACTAAAGCAAAAACACAGTGCTTAACTTATACCATGTGCTCCATATTTTTTTTAAAGGATACTTGTTTTAATGGTTAACAGGAGTCCAATATGGAAATTTGGAGGGATAATAGCACATGTATCTATGTGTGAAGAAATGGAATATATATATATAAGTATATACATACATCATAGACTTTATGTCACTTTCTGTATTTGTCATACATCCTAGTGAATGTCACCTTCTCTGGATGACATTGACAGCAGGCAGTCTTATCTCCCTTCTTCCCACTATACTGTACATACCTAAAGGCAAAAGGCCTTTCAGGCTCAGTGATACCCCAGACTCTTTAGGGTGCACATTCTGTAAACATTCTGCAACAAGAAAAGGAAATGGACCGGGCATAGTAATGCATACTTGTGATCCCAGCAGCTTGGGAGGCTGAGGCAGGAGGATGGCAAGTTCAAAGCCAACCTCAGCAAAAGCAAGGTGCTAAGCAAATCAGTGAGACCCTGTCTCTAAATAAAATACAAAATAGGGCTGGGGATGTGGCTCAGTGGTTGAGTGCCCCTGAGTTCAATCCCTGGTAACCACACCGCAGGAAAAAACAAAGAAAAGAAAATAGAACAAGGTCAGGGGAGCCTAGGGGAGGGATATAGAGCATTAACCTCCCACCTCTCAGATAACTTTCATTTCTTGGCTAGAAATGCAGAATAAAGGTGTTCAATGGAACACGGTCATTGTTATTGCTGTGCTGAGGTCCTTGATCTTTACCTTCAGATTTGGACACAGGGAAGGGCCAGCTTCTCTGCTGCCATTTAGGTAGTGCTGGATAGACAGTGAGCAGCAGCCAGTGACATTTACAGAATCAGACCAGATGCTTTGAACACAATAAATTCAAACTTTGGATTCATATTTAAACATGTAAATATTCTCTTTTCTCCTTCTAATTTTGATCTTTGTATTTCTCTCACTGCGTTGGGCTCAGGAACACAATCACTGTGGTTAGCAATATTTATTTAAAATTAGGAAATATTTATTTTGCTCTGAATTCACCTTCCCCCATTTTCCAAGGCAATAAAGTCAAACATCCTTATGATGAAGAAGACCAGAAAGGGAATTGAACTGGATAGCCCTTTCCTACCTGAGGATGATTGTGCCGTGACTGCAGCCAGCCGGCGGCAGGGAGTGCACTTGCTGGGGTTGGTAGCTCCAGGTCTGGTGTTTCTCACCATCCACTGGTGAGGAGGACAGTGATCAGGAAAGCCTCAGCAAGCCCCATGGAGGGAGGGCTGGCTCTTCCCAGTCTACTCATTCAGATAGAAGCCGTTCAAGAAAGGTCTTTCTGCTACTGTGGGAATATCTGGGTTTCCTCTGACTTTTCTAGAGTCAGAGGGTGCTGGAGCTTCATCCTTTGGGTTTTATCTAGAAGGGGGGTCTGGGGAGATGGAATATCCACCAAGCAGAGAGTTTCTGTTCAAGTTCAATGCTTACTTCCTTGCCCGGTGGTCACATTTCTGCTTCGGGCTTCTGATGACAGCAGGCCTTGATGTAGAATGTGCACAGAGATCCTGGGGTGTGAGGGCGGCCTGTCTCCTGACGCCAGGCCTGCCAGGGCCCTCTGTAGCTTCTCTGGGACACAGGCCCAGGGCTCACTTTGCACTTCTTTCCTTCGGGGCAGTGGTCAGGTATGTCATTTAATCAATCTGGGATGCTAGCCCAGGGCTGTTGAAAAGCAGGTGTTGATCATGGGAGCAATCACTGAGGGCTGCATACCCCAAATGATTTATAATCTGGGATCTAAAGCAAAGAAAAAAAATAAAATTAATTCTCGCATGTCAGATCCCCTTCTCTCACAACCTGCCTCAAATGTGTGGAGTGTCATTAATCCACTTCTGAGCACCCTACCTGCCATGAGGTGTCTTGCTGCCCGACCTGGGAGACATGGCTGTAGATGGACACTTGCGGCAGATTCGTGTACTAAATCCACACAAAGGGCCACCCCGTCCTTCGCCAGCTCACACTTTATAATGCTCAGTCTGAAATGACCTTTAGAAAACCAGATAATATTTTATTTACCTTTTTTCTCCCATTTACTGTTAAATGTTAATGAAGGTAAGAGATTCAAATTCCTGCTAATAAAACATTTTAATTGACTCGACTGGAGCCCTCACTGTAAATTGGCTACTTTGCACCAACGACCTCAGAGCTTCCCTGCCCCCAGTCCTGTGGCCTGTGCGATATGGGGAGTTGGCAGCAGATATTTTCTTTGTTCTTCTTGGGCTTCACCCGCAGCCAGGAGACTCGAGGACAAGCAGCCAGGAGTGACACAGGATCCCTCATGCCAACAGAATTAACTGTCCCTTCACCCTCCCATGACCTCTCTATGGAACTCCTTCAGGTTTGGGGTCTGTGGGAACCAGCGCCTCCTCCAGGAAGCCCACCAGATCTCTACTTCCTTCCCTTCCTCCAGATGGCCACAGTCTTGTGACATTTTCCTGGGGACACTTTTCACTCTGTCTTCTGTTATGGTAACTTTGGTGTCTGTGTTAGTGTTTTGCTTAGATTACATACTCCATGCATAGGTTGATGCTTAATAAATACCAGTGAGTGAGAAGAAATAAAAAGAGATTTCACTGGCCTATGACATACTGACTCTCTAGGGTGTTCTTTTTCGGGGTGGGGGGGTACCAGAGATTGAACTCAGGAACACAGGACCTCTAAGCCACATCCCCAGCCCTATTTTGTATTTTATTTAGAGACAGGGTCTCACTGAGTTGCTTAGTGCCTTGCTTTTGCTGTGTCTGGCCTTGAACTCTCGATCCTCCTGCCTCAACCTCCCGAGCTGCTAGGATTACAGCCGAGCACCAGGGCACCTGGCTCTAGGGCATTCTTCAAAGCATTCAAAACAGATGCTCTTTTCTGGCTTTCTTGGGCAAGGACACTCAGTATTCATTATGTGTAATGACTTGCTGTATTAGAGAGTTTCAACAAAGAAGAAAAAAATGGCATAATCTGTGCCTCTATATGGATCTACATTCCTTCATAATCCATAGATCTCTGTAAGAATCTAAGTGTCTAAAACGTTGGAGGGGTCCTCTGTGTGATTGGTACATAGAAAGGGATTGAACCTAATTGAGCTGAGCCATATTGGTGCAGCTGTGATGGACTCAGAGCCACAGCTGCATGGGTTGCTGCTGGTTTGGGACTGCAGATGGGCCAGCTCCTGGAGAGCAGCGTCTATCACAGTGAGTGCAGGGCTGGTAGAAAGAGTGGCTCTGGCCACGACTGTACCTGAAGACAAGCAAAAGAGCAGGGGTTAAGAGAACAGCTATTTAGCTGCCGTGTGACCTCAAACAAATTATTTCACCTCTCTGTGCCTCGGTTTCCTCCTCTGTAAAATGGGGATAACTTCAGTACCCTCTTCATAACCATACTTTGACAATTAAGTGATTGAAGTACAGAGAACCAAAATGAAATGCTCTTGGAATAATGCCTGGCACACAATAAATTTTCAGTAAATCTTAGTTTTTATTATCTTTCCTATTCTGGAAGCAGAAGAAAAGAACACTGAAAAGAAAAAAAAAAAAAAAAGGTAAAATACTCTTTCTCCTTTTCATTAAAGGGCCCTGAGCTTTGGGGGGGAAAACTTCACTGCTCATATCTAACCTGATTCTTTCACCTTGCCCACAATTGTGCCTCAGAATCTTTCAACTCCAGGCCCTGGGAAACTCCTTCCTGGATGTCCTCCATGTCACAGCATTTTGACACCTGTCACAGGGCATTTCTCCTAAATATGACAATACTTGATTTCCAGTTTTTGGAGGTCTCCTCCACGTTTCTGCAGCATTTTGACACTGACACAATATACCTGCCTCAGACTTGGGGATTCTCTTTCTAATCACTTATGTCAGTAGATCTCAACTGGTTTCTTATGGAACACCTCGATCCCAGAGCTAAACAAAGATGTTCTGCTGCTGAGATTGAATAATAACTTTCACTTCTCTATTCACACACAAAAAAATTAAAATTAAAATTAATGGATGGTATTTTCTCCATTTTAGGTCTCCCATAAATTCTGCCTGTTTCGTCAGCACCTGTCTCCACTCAGTCATCTACAACTATGGCCTTCATTGCTGGCTCGCTTGGTGAACATTAACAGATATTACTTGGGCTTCATGCCTGGAATTTTTATAAAACAAAAATTCTGAGGGTGGACGTTGAGGGTCTGTCAAGTTTTTAAAGTTTCCCAAGTGATTCCAATGTATAACTAGGGCAGGGGACCACAGTTCAATAGTGATATTTTCTAAGAGAAATCAGATGAACAATGAGCAAATATATCTTAAGTATGTTACAGGTTGAATATCCCTTATCTGAATACTTGGGATCATAAGTATTTTAGATTTTGGAATATTTGCATATACATAATGAGATATCTTGGAGAAGAGACCTGAGTTGAGACATGAAATTCACTAATGTTTCATACATACCTTATACTCACAGCCTTGAAAGGTAGTTTCATACAATTTGTTTTAGTGCATCCATGTTTTGACTGCAACCAGTCACATGAGGTCAGGTGTGGAATTTTCCACTTGTGGAATCATGTCAGAATTCAAAAGTTTCAGATTTTGAACATTTTAGATTCAGATTTTTGGACTAGTGATGTTCAACCTATAGTGAAAATTTTTGGAAGTAGACAATCTGGCTTAACTTCATGGTTGAATTAAAATGTGGCTATGCATTTACATAAAAAAAAACTCAATGTGTCTATTTGGGGTATGCTGTTCCATGGTGATTTTCATTTTGGATTGACTATTCTATGTGATGGCATGTTCCAATGAGTGGTTTACCTCCTGAAATTGCCCAAGTTAAGCAAATGAATCTGCTGGTTAACACCCACACTGGCCAAGTTTTTGAAACCATAAACTCCTGAATAGTGTACCCTGGTTAACTGTAGCTGTAGACACCTCTACTTAGATAGGCTAAGTTTATCAGTGTAGCTTGTTGGCCACCAGAGGGACAAGGAGAAATGATATGAATGAATGACTTAGCACAAACAGTTCCACTAAGAGAAAAGTAGAAAACACACTGTTTCCCAAGGCAGGACAGTAGCCTCATCTTTGTCTGGGATCAACAAAGTACATTAATTGTGATCTTTGTCTCAAATGATTCTACAGAAATTTGGAAGTCAGGGAGATATGTCCAAATTGGATCATTACCCAAACTATAAAATATCTGTGAAAACTGTCTAAGTGCTCAGCAGTTATATTGGAGCTAGATACACTAGGAGCACTGTCAATGATTTCTGTGTGATGGTTTGAGTAAAGTTCAGAAGAGATATGAAAAGCAATTTGTTTATTGAAATAAATGTAGAGAAGCTTCTAATTAATTATATTAGGAACTTAAGGAACAGTTTATGGTCTCCTCGTAATTTTTCATATTTGTAGAGAAATTAGGGTAGTTTTTAGTTAATGGTTCAATTAAAATTTTGTGCCTTTTTTAAAAAATATTTTTAAGTTGTCTATGGATCTTTATTTATTTTTATGTGGTGCTAAGGATTGAACCCAGTGCCTCACACATGCAAGGCAAGTGCTCTACCACTGAGTTACAACCCCAGCTCCATTTTGTGCCTCTTGATAAATAAATATTTGTGGCACCAAGATTAGTTCTTATAAGTAAAATTTCTTCCGCCTATCTCTCAGATTTTAGTTTTTTTTTTTAAAATGTTTTTACTAGTGCATTGTAGTTATTATACATAATAGTGGGGTTCATTTTGATATGGACCATTTCAGTCCCCTGTGCTTCCTCTTTCCCCTCCCTTCCTTCCTTTATTTCCCCTTCCTCTACTCAATTTTAGTTTTCCTTCTGATTATTTCTTATTTTTTAACTGGTACTTTATAGATATACATGAAGGTAGAATTCACTGTTGTGTATTCAGATATGTGCATAGTATAATTTTGCCAGTGTCATTTTGCAGTTCCTCCCTTTTCTTGTCCTTCCCCTCTCCCCTTTAATCCCCTTTATCTCCACTCTGGTTTTGTGGGATCAGCCCCCCCCTTTTTTACTTACTTTGCTTTAGCTTCCATATACAAAAGAAAACATTCAACCCTTGACTTTCTGAGTCTGGCTTATTTAACTTAGCATGATATTCTCCAGTTCTGTTAGTTTACCAGCAAATGTCATGATTTCATTCTCTGTAGTGGGGTAAAACTTCATTGCATGTATATATAGCATATTTTTTTTTTTACAAAATACCTTTATTTTATTTATTTATTTTTATATAGTGCTGAGGATCAAAATCAGTGCCTCACATGTGCTGGGCAAGCACTCTGCCACTGAGCTACAACAGCAGCCCCCATACCACATTTTTTTTATCCATTCATCTGTTGATGGGCACCTGGGCTGGTTTCATAACCTGATATAAACATTGTGCCTGTATGGCTGTAGTATTCAGCCTTCAGTTTTTGCTCCAAGCATAAGAAAGACTCAGTCAGGAGCCAGGCTGATCATTAACCCAAATAGATATTAACCCATTAATATCAAAGACTAGCAAGCTGCAATGGAGCATGCTTGTAATCACAGCAGCTCAGGAGGTTAAGGTAGGAGGATCACAAGTTCAAAGCTATCTTCAGCAAAAGCTAGGTGCTAAGCAACTCAGTGAGACCCTGTTTCTAAATGAAATACAAAATAGGGCTGGAGATGTGGCTCAGTGGTCAAGTGCCCCTGAGTCCAATCTCCAGTACAAAAACGAAACAAACAACAACAACAACAAAAACTCTTTTAGCCACCTTATAATATGGCATTCATTTTGCTGGCCCAGGCTCAAACATTATTCTTCCATTTTTTAAAACTACAGAAAAGTTTGCATGGCGTATGCTGCAGACTCCTGATAGTGAGAGACTTACATGGCAGGAGGGCTGTGGCAGGTGGTCCCAGTGCAATTATCCCCGACACTGGCTTGCTGCTTTCTGTGTGCTGTTTCCTCATTGCTCCACAATGCTTTAATGCCTCTGTGAGAGAAAACCACCCTCAGTGAGTCAAGGAAACAAGGCCTGGGAATGCTTTTGTGTGGTTTTATCTGTCTTCAATCTCCCCCTTACTACCTGTAGCTTAGACATGACAGGAACAACCCTATAAAATTAGCTTCATGGGATGAGACAGGAAGAAAAATGTCAAGAAGTCAGCCCCCCTCCCCACCCTCTGCTCAATCTGTGTTAACATAGCCCCGCTTTAGGAGATTTTAACCCGCTGGACAAAATGCTCTTGGGCGCGCTTATTGGTTTAATAAACAGACCAAACTCTTGAGGACAAAAGAGGACAAACCTGGCCGGCTGAAAATTATGTGACTCGGGCTCTTAAAAAGCTTGTGTTCTGCTAGACTAACAGCGCTTCCTGAATTGAGTAAATTGATTGTGTCCCTCATCACCTCCTGTCTACACAGCCGTTAGTGCCTGTGCGACCAAGTGTTTATTGTCGGCAGCAACCCAGGGCGAGCAGGATCGACGAGTGTCTTGTTAGGAAAACATTTCACAGGTTTTGTTTGGCGACATTTGGGGAAGTGGCTTTGAGGAACGATATATCTAAGGTTAACGATTCCTGGACTTTAGGGATGTGGGTTTTTTTTTTCAAAAGGATTTATGCCTTCAAATATGGAAAACAGGCTCTTTGTGGAAAGTGTGCTTTCCCTGGTACAAAGACTGAATTTGTAAACATCTGTTTATGAAAAAACTGCATTTCTCAATATCGTGGCATGATCTTCTAAACCAATACATAAATGGATCTTTAGTGTATACGGAAATCTTTTGCATTTGAATATAAAAATCCATTGAGGGAGGGAGGAGGGAGAAAAAGAAATGGGTAAATAAATACAAAAACTCTTAAGAGCTTCTGGGCTGGTTTCAAGAATGCCCCACAAAACAGGTTTTCATGGTTGTATGGGGTGATGTGATCCTATTCAAGTTTCTTTCCTTTCTTTAGAATTTCTGAAGAAGCTGTTGAAAATGGCTTCGGGGGCTGTTCCTAAAATAGATTTTAGAGATGAAAAAATGAGAGAATGCACATACAATCTGAGACAAATGATCAGCTCTGATGCTGAAGCTGAGATTGTAAATGACTGCTGTGCCTTGCAAGAAATGAATATTCAGGATGCCCCTGCTGGGTGCCTTTTCCTATTTGAACCAACTACTGTTTGGGCCATGATTCACTTGTTACCAAATTAAACACTCTTTGCACACAGCAGAGCAACTTTGCGAAGTCGGATTTTGAAGTGCAAACATCTTTTCTGCTCTGGCCACGGAACCTGTCACAATCTTCATCGGGAACTGAATTAAGTTTAAAATATCATCAGAGGGTGTTGATCTCTCTTGGGCCTGGAGCTGTCCTCTGTACATCCGGCATTTTTCTGTTGACACTGCGTATCACTTAGCAACCGGCCTGAAAGGCCCTATATGCATTGATTGCGCACCATTGTCTTTAAGGGGTGGAAGTGTTAACCGAATACCCCCTCCCCAACCCTGGGTGACCAGACGGTCATTTCTCTCATGTTGATCATCTGTTTACATCAAAATATTGTTTATTCCATTCTCTGATCCTGAGTTTTACATCTCGGTCTAAGAACACAGTTAATTCCCTGTGTGTCTGAGAACCTCAATTTACTCTCCTGACAAGGTGCAATGAAAGCAGTTTTGTCCCTAGTTTCCTTGAAAAAGAATTACATGCATTTGACAGTTAGCTGCAGACGATAAGGCAAAGTTTCTCCTATGGTTTCCAGAGGATGCAGAAGTCACAAGCCTGCAATTGTCCCCTAAAGAGAAAAATAATCCCTTCTGTTTGTGCATAGTTTTGAAATGGTTGGATGTTACACAGCTGTGAAGAGGATAGGGCTTTCAAATGGATGGCGGGCTCTGACATCATCTGAATGAAAAGGAAATATGGCCTAACCAAGGAGAGTTTTCAGAATGAATGAAATTTCAGAGTGGAAATTCTTGCCTGAGAGGCAAGGGTAGAACTCATTTCTGCATCAATAGGCTTGGCTAAAGCAATAGACCGGACTGGTGGGTCAGACAGGCATTCTACCTCAGACCTCTCCCCTTTACAATGATCTGTTTCAGAGACCTTCCACTGAGGCAGCTTTTTCAAAAACCTCTCAGACAATGAGAGCATTTCAGCAAAGGGATTTTACATGTAGGTGAAGATCAAATTGGTGGATTTAGAGCTCACTTTCACCAAACCACGTACTGTAGGCCAAGCAGAAATTTTGTGGCTGGTGGCCCTAAAATTCCTACTTTTGAGAAATCTGTTTTGCTTTTTGGTGAATACTGTATCCAGCCAAGAAAAGGAGAACTATATACTAATATGTCCTAAGAAATATACCCCACCCAAAAAGGAAGTTATTTCAAAATCAGCTTGGCTTTGGCATCACTTTATCAGGGATAAAGGAGCTGGAATAAAAATAAGAGTTCCAAAAGGTTCTCTGTTTAAATCTTATCTCTCCACAACCTTCTTCTCAAATAGGAAATCTATTTAATTCTCCATGCCTTCGTGAGAAGAAAAATGCAATCTCAGAATTTTGGGCCTGGCTTACATGTGAGAAGGAGTTGAAAACTGATTTAGGAAAAAGAGGGGACCACCCTGCAGGGCAGTGACTCCAGATAAGGTTTCATGTTTAACCAAGGAGAGCAAGGAGAAGATCTTCTTTATTAGAAATTGTTTTAAACTAATAGACAGGCTTTTAAGTAACACCCACTTCTTCCCTCATCCTTATTCCCCTAAAACTCCTTACTTTGTTCTCTACATATTAATCCTGTAGCCAGTCATCTTGGCTTGGTTCGGCTACTAAGTGAATGCTGCTTCTATAAACATTTCACTGCTACAAGTTGGATTTTTCACAGCATTAACTTTAACTACATAGATGTTTGTAATGGAATAAAACTCCAAATTGATGTTTTACTGTATTGCAAGTTAGGAAAAAAAAAAAGAAGAAGAAGAAGTGGGCTTCAAATGGAGATAGATGTGTGCCTCATTTCATTGGAAAAAATGCTACCTTGTAGGTCAAGTTGAAGTTGCTTCAACAAGAAAGTCTTAAAGAAAATACGTGCAGTACCCAAATCCCTACTTCTTGCATAAAATTCTTCAACAAACTTCCATCCACATATGCATTTGAAGTTGATTTTAAATCTGCACAAGCTTAAATCAATTGAGAAGAAAATAACAGGTTTCAACTAAACTGTACTATACAGAGCTGTCCTATGCAGAGCTTTCTGGTGAAATGACCTTGTGAAGAGCCCAGGGAGTAAGTTGGAAGAATTTGTTCACCATCTCTTTCAAGGTGTTTGCCAATTTCTTCTTGCCAAAATGTATTTAAGGACAAAGATTCTAACTTCTGGCCTCAAATCGAAGGTTTTCTTTAAAAGAGACAGATTATTTAATAGCAGCTGAGGTTCTCCCAGGAATGACACAGTCATCTCTGCTTTGAACTCCGTTGAGTGGTTGGTTGTGGTTTGTACAAATCAACACTGCCATTACCTGACTGCTGGGTTTCATAAGAGGGTTTGGAGCAAACATCATTTGAATTGCAATGTGTCCTGTCTTGAAGGACCCACGCCTCCACATGAAACATTTTCCTTTTTCTCAAATCGTTATCTCATCTAGGTCTAACAATGCTGATATTAAAATAATAAAAGAGAAAAGGCTTGGAGACAGCCCCTCTTTATAGTTAAATGTTATCTGCTTAGACTAATATTGCAATTGCCACCCACTGACATAATTTGTTTCACAGTCACAGCTTGGCAGCATGAATCAAATGTTGACATTCTAATTTCATGCACACATGGGCGTTTGGCCGAGCAGGCCCGCAGCCTCCAGACCATTCTCTCTGTACCTGTGTAAATCAGGCAGACAAGGCGTGCTTGCGACAGCCTGCCAGCAGAGTTGCTCTCTTCTGTTGAGAAAACTTTGGAGCCTGGATTCTTCCCCTGTGTGTGTGTGTGTGTGTGTGTGTGTGTGTGTGTGTGTGTGTGTGTGTTCCGTCTTGCAGAGCATCACAGAGATACTCTATTACTCTGCTGGAAAGGTACTTTTCATTGCCCCCCCTTCTAATTGCAATTTTCGAAACTTGAGAACTCAACTCCCAAATGATTTCTCTCATTGCTTTCTAAATTACTTGCAAATGTTTCTTTGAGAAAAATACCCATGGAAATTAAGTAGTAGGATTAAAAGACTCTCTGAAACCTGGAAAGAGGAGATCCTGATTTCCCTTTATTGTGGACAAGATTGTGTGCCTCCCAAAATTGGTAGTTTGAAGCCGTAACTCCCAGTGACTTTATCTGGAGATGGGGCCTTTAGGGAGATAATTAAGGTTAAGTGAGATCGTTAGGGATGGCGTGAATCCAGTGGGACTGGCATCCTTACAAGAGACACTAGGGGTGCATACCCAGAGAAAAGGCCACCAAGAAGAGAAGAAACCAACCCTGCTGATCTCTTGATCTTGGACTTCCAGCCTCCAGAATAGTGAGAAAATTCCTTTCTGTAGTTGAAAGCTCCCGGTCTATAGCATTTTGTTGTGGCAGTCTGAGCTGACTAAGACACCCTCCAAGTAAGGATCAGACATTCTGTGAGTGCTCTGCCTTTGACCAAGTGGCCGCTAGAACCACCTCAGCCCATGGCTTCCCCAATAGACATTGTCAGTATAAAGAGAGTTTTAGGGTCACAGCCATCAGGACCTTGAATGAAACCAATGGAGCGTTGCTGGGCAGCCTCTGTTTGAACCTCTACTAGGGAAGGATTAATGGTTAGCCCTTTGTGTTAGACGAGGATGCTCTGGCCACACTCAGCCAGACATCAGGGGGTGTAGTTTCTTGCTTCCAGTGATAGGCTGGCCTAAGCTGGTCCCATACTAATACTCAGGTCTCCTAATTCATGAGTGAGCTGGGAGGGGGCAGGGGGTCTGGGTAAGGCTGCTATTATTAACTCAAGGACAGTGTACCGCAATTGATTTGTACAGAGATGGGCC